TCTCATCTACGGTTATGAGACAAGTCGCCCGTTGAGGCAGATTTTGTACCCGTGCCACACGGACATGGCAAATGCCCTTCAGGGCGAATGTCATCCGGGCGCCGAATGACATTACATTTCAAGCCCGCGCTACACGTACACTTCGAATGTCATTTTGCGCCATGATGATGATAGCGCCTGCTCTCCGAAGAAAACTAATTGTAAAGTCTTTTTGTAAGCTAAATACGTTTGTTCAAGGTTATGATCTCTAAAAAGTGTCTATTGGTAGTTTTAAACAAATTTTTCTATCTTTGTGTTTTTCGCGTTTCCGCTGTACTTCATTTGGTGGTGACGCTCCAATTGCTCTAGCCGCAATAAGCCAAAACCAAAGACAAGCTGACCAAAGCGAAAGGAAATGGCGCCTGTACAGTCGCGAGCGTCGGTCCTTGTACCGGAGGACGATGAACGGGCGCGACGGTTAGTGAGCGCCCTTATTTATTTCCGCACCAAGCACCGGGCCGAGAGGCTCGAAGCCGAAGCTGAGGGCGCTCACTCTCGCGTTCGTGAAATCGAAGAGCAGCTGCTCTCGAACTCCATGGCTCAGGAAGCTGCTTTCGCTGCGCACCGCCCAGTGCACCGATCGCGTTGGCGGTACCCAAGAAACCAAAGGTGGTTTCTTGTGGCGCTTGCAGCTCCATCCGAAGAAACTTTGAAGCTGGGACAAAACGTAACAAGACCGAGAAGAAACGCGAAAAGGATGGCGACGCAGCTGGCGAAGCTGCCTGAGTCTAATTGGGTTAAAGAGCAGCCGCTTGCAATTATGTGACAAGCCGCGCTTCAAATCTAGTATAAAAAAATGCATACATAAAAACAAACACAAATAAATAACTTTCTGTTCGGGTACACTTTGATTAACGTTATAACATTGGTGTTTTTTTTAATTAGGGCCTGGGAAAGGGGCTACACATTTGGCCCGTGACCAAATGCGAATGAGTTCCGCCAAACCCCTTCAGTGGCAAATGACATTCGCAGCGAATGCCATTCGTGCAGGCCGTGTAGCACCAGTCGAAAAATACTTGGGGCTAATGTCATTCGTTGTAAATGGCATTCGAGTTGCCCATTTGGCACGGATACAACTTTAGGTTGTAAAAACATACACACACCCCAATATCTTTGTCTTTCTTTAGGTGTTGGTGCCAGAGCGCGACTATGATGGTAACCTATTTCATTCTGTATAGTGTACGAAGTACCTAAACCGAAACAAAGTTCAAAGTACAGCTCGCGCTCCGGGCATTGTCAACGCCGTGAACGCGGCCACCTACCAGCGATGAAAATCGGCACCGCACGGTCTGGCGCCAGAGTCACCAATTGTTTGTTGCGATAAACACTTAAGCCGGGGTTAGGGTGCTTTCATGTGCGCGTTGTTTAGGGTGATGACATCTGGCCATTTTGTTTGGAACGCTTATTTTTATTTTTCGTTCTGAAACACGTGAAGAGCGTGTCCCTGCACGCGCTCTTGGAGCTGACTGCGCTGCGGCGACTTTTTGTTTACGACGATTTCTTCGTATTTTCCTTGTGAGCGCGTGCTGTCGTCATCGGGTATTACAAAAGATGGCATATCACTCTAAGCAGAAGGGCAGTCGTGGGAGAGTTTTAGCAGATAATTGTTTTCGCCCGGAAAACGACACCCGATAACGATACGATGCAGCCCAAGGCCGCCGGAGAGGAGAGGAGGTATCATTATCGGGGCAAAAAAACGATCTGCTAAAACTCTCTACCGAGTCACCCTATATTCCGTTCACCCTTTAAGGGACACAGACAGAGTATTTATGCTCGCCGAGGGTTTTAGTTGTACGACGTGTGAGAGCCAAACTACCCAGAACAGAATTTTCGACTCGAAATTCGGTCTCTTTCTGCCCGAAAACCGCCGATGGAAAACTGGCCGGTTTGAGTTGCGCTCACTCTCTTAGAACTCCGTGGTCACGGGCCGTATGCTAAGATTTAGGCATAACCACCAAATTTAATCAAACTCGTGGGTCATCGAAGCCACACACTCAATATTAAAAATAAAGCGACAGAATACGAAACCCATTTTTTGTGGTTTCTAAAAAGCTGCAAATACGTTGATTTAAAAAAAAAAAAGTTGCACAGACAACCGGAAGCATTCTGTGCGTTCACTGCGTAATTCTCAACATGGCGTCGTATCCACTGCAGTGGTCTATCGCGTCTCGTGAGACTCGCGGGCTGGTCGGCGATGGCGGCGGACGACGGGCGTTGAGTCACCCTATACTCCGCTCACCCTTAAAGGGACACTGACAGGGTGTTTGTGCTCGCCGAGGTTTTTAGTTGTACGACATATGAGAGCACAACTACCCAGAACAGAATTTTCTTCCTCTACTACTGAACTGTCGTTCGCGGTACCGGCAAATCTTTTTTCCTCCGAAAAAGAAATTTTGGATCGATTTAAACAATTAGGATTCATTCCGTACGACACACCCGACGTGCACCAAGCCGATTTGCACGAAAATGTCACCGATTCGTTGCCCCTTCTCACGACTAAAGACAGCGCTCGTGTTACGAAAACGAAGTGGTAAGAGCTTGAAAAACACGCAGACGTCAAGCACGAAGTGCGTACTTCGAGCTGAATATGCATGCGTACGATTTGTTTACTAGGCGCGAATGTGATCAATCCGTGGTGCTGCCCGACTTCGAGCCTGGCAAGGGCTTTTACTGCAGGGAAATTGGCAGCAAACTTTCCGACCTACAGTCGACCGGATGCATTACCACGAACGAGGAGCTCCCCTCGTCTGTCTGAAAATTCCAATGCTAAAACTATCGTACTTTGAGCTCCACGAGAGGAAGCTGCCTATGCCCAAGGACATCCACAAGTCTATGTTGTCAGGAAAAACGATTATTTCATGTAGAGTAGCTCAGGGAGAAAGAAGAAGACGCCGTCGTGTTTCCGATGCCCTCCAAGGAAGATGTACCGGCCACCGGCCGGGGAACCACTGAGGCTTCGGCCAGCACTACTGATATGATGACCAATGAATACCGGATCGTGCAACCTTGTCTTACCCACAGGTAACTTGAGCCTGAACTCCGTCTTTCTTCATGGCGATTTCGCCGCATGACCCTACCGAGCCCCAGACTTCCGTGACACCTTACGAGGACGCCCAAGACATCATCGGAATAGGCCAATTTCAGATGAGCCATATCTGGATGGTGACATATGGAAACGCCTTAACTAAAACTAAGCTTGTAAACATAATGGAGCTTACCATTAAGGGACGCAGATGGCTCATAATTGACCTCGACACCAGAAGTGTGAAACTGAAACTTCTCTGGTTACCTGTACACATAGAAAACCAGAGAATCGAAGAGGCACTGGCGCCTTTTGGCACAGTCCGTTCCATTGCACGAGAAAAGTGGAAGTGCACTGGAATAGATCAAGTAGAAACGCTCAACAAAGAGGTGACCCTGACACTTAGAAAAGGAATGAAGGCAACGAATATTCTGCCTCAGCTCACGGCCTTCGGCTGTCCAAGCCTAGCGCTCGTTCCTGGTAGGCCACCGCTGTACCTTCGGTGCAACAGAATCGGTCACATCCGCGTGAGTGCAGAATCCTGAGGCGCGGCGAGTGCCAACGCTACGGACACGACGCGAGTGAGTGCGTCACCACCTACGCAGACAAGCTACGGCTGTCGAGAAGCCGAACAGACGACGTTTTCCAGGATCATCTTATGGATATTAGTGTAGTCGTTGATGCAGTAGGCGACATCGCCTCTTCCCCTATCAAGGCACAAAGGACCTAGATGGAAACGTCTATACAGCGACCAAAAGAACTGAGTTCTGGTTCGGAGTCTTCCACCACCCTTCCAGGACCGTAAACACCATACCAGCTTAGTGTGTCACGGAAACGAAGAGAAATTGGTCGGATAGCGAATACCCATCCCTTAATGCACCACCTGAGCTACCATGCCATCAAGCAATAGCTCGATGCGAACGCGCCGCCACGTCCAGTGGCACATCGTTGAAACGACCTTTTCCTACGACGAAAATAACGCCCAGCCCTCCGCTACAGGTATTATTGCCAAAAGCAAGAGCGACGAGGGAGGCGAGGTGAAACGCAAGACATCTGCGGTGCGAGAGTTCCTCTACAACCAAATATCGCAATCTGGAGCCCTGGACGTGAGGGATGATGACGATGTGCTCCTACACTAACTAAAACCTTCCTGACTTCTCCTTCCCTCAGCTTCGCTACCATCAACGTCAGAGGACCGTGTTCACGCGCAAGGCAATCTCAATTGTACAAGCTCCTGTTAAAGAAACATATTGACTTTGTTGTTCAAGAGACAAAAATATCGTCTGATCAGGATACTGCTCGTGCACTGGACCCCTTCGTTTCACATTACAAGGTATGCGTTAGTCACGTCAAACCGGAAAGGGTAAAGGCCGGGGAATCAGAAAATATAGTGAGTTGAGGTAGTTCAAAAAGTCGCCAGAGTACCTCTTTAAGGTGCACAGAGTGTAGCCGGGATCACACTGCACATACATCATACAAAGGGCAGTCTGCAAACACTAGCTTCCGTGATCAAAATCCGTGATTCGAATGTCACGTGCCAAGTTTCTGCTTGAACTGATTGCCATGCGGCTTTTGAAGCAAGGATCTCGCGGTAACTCGCGTTCGAATCTGTATGCAGACTGTCTTTTGCATGATGTACAATAGTGCGACCCCGAGTCCGTATATTAAGAACATCATAGATTCAGGGAGAGATTGAAAATTGTATTAACGACGTACATTAGAACAGTAATATACTCGTAGGTATACGTGTTTTTCGTGACAGGCCCCACATAAAAGCGAGACGTATACCTCGACCCAGAAACCATTGTCTCTCATTCGCACCGGCATTCGTTAATAGACACTCATCTCATTCGAAAAGATAAATATAATATGTTCGCACAACTTATTGTTTAGAAAAATTCTAAATGGTTTGCGTGAACATGATGTGTGCAGGACTCACGGGATCGAAGTACGCCTGCAGTACCGACTGCCGCAAAGCAGTCGTAAGGTTGTAAAATTCGGAGCTGTGATGCACTTGGTGGCCAGCCCATGCTAGGTTCATTTCTTCGGAATGCGTGGAAAAAAGAACAATGTATTACGTCTCAATAAAGTCAATGACACCGCTTTTGAAATGTTCACTTACCATGGCTGCAACGGTGCACCCAGTAATAGGCGAAGTCCACAGCCAAGAGGGCGAAGAACCAGGTGAAAACAGAGTCCCATGGCAACGTTACAATCCTGTAGTTGTTGTAGACGTAGACGTAGCTCGCAAGAACAGCCCCCTCCGAAAAAATCCTGAAAGAATTCAGTGACCATCATTGGGCAACGATTGTGCGAAGTAAGCAAGTGCAGCAATGGGTGGATGGGTGGATGGTATTAGCTGTTATACTTTTTGTGTGGGGCGGTATATTGCGCCATCTTGCATCGGAACATTTACGCTCCATTTTCCCCTACTCCCTACATACACACTTCAAAGTTTGTTCTAAATTTTATCTCTCGTTAAATGATGTACCCAACCCATTGTGAGTATTATCACATTTACGGATGTTACCTTAGGGACGTTGCCAGATTATAAAAGACCGATCAACGATTAATAAGGCTAAAATCAAAATAAGTTAAATTTAGTTTATATCATCAGGTGGAAAGCCAGTGGTACTACTTCTTAATACCTGCACACTGTTTTTTATCATGTTCATTTTTTCATTAATTTTTATTTATTATTATTATCAGCCATTTTGGGGCTATAACAGGGTAGATGAAAAATACGTAATGAAAAACATGCAGGTCGCTGGTACAAACTAACAAGTTGCTCGTGAAAACAAACAAAAACACGTTTGCAAGGGTTTCTATATATACCTCGATTAAAAATCAGCGAAAAACAAGAACACATGATCAGGATTTAATAAAATACTGAGTGCGGTTAAACATGGTGAATTTATTGAGTGGCATGCGAAACAATCTTTCAGTCTTTTAACAAACGAACTTAGTGACGCTGATAGAACCGTGGCTTTCGGTAGCATATCCTATTTCTTTATTGCTCTAGAACAAAATTATGTTGAAACAATCATTTCGTACAGACGGACGTACATTCGGGAAAAATGCAGTGATAATTTATTAGTACGAATGTCGAAGTCATTTGATTTATTTAGTTTTATGTGAATATGAATAATCCAGAATAAAATGTAATGCTGTCATATTTTCTTTTAGATTTTAAAGTTCGGAGATCTTAGGGCTGGCATAGTTCTGTGGGAGAATAAGCGCGACTATATTTGTTAAAGATAACTCTGAAGGCTAGTCGCTGAATTTTTTTTCTAGATTGGCACAATTTGTCACGGTATGCTGGGCCCTCACGATTTTTGCACACTCGATAATGGGACTTATTAGGGCCTTGTATGAAAGACGTGAGGTGCTGTTTGACGTGTTTCATAAACGAATTCGCAAGTATAATTTCGCGTAGAAAATGTTTTCAAAAGCAAAAAATATGTATATACGCACTGCATTTTTTTAGTAAACGAGATCCAATGACACACTTACAACTGTCTTGATACATATCGAGGATGCATTATCTTTGTGAGCGCAGTGAATTACGTTCTAGTAGCAGATAATATAGTCGGTACTCCGGCGATTTTTCGAGCTGCCCTAACTAACTCTATTTTCGGAATCACCTGCCTTTTCCCTTTCCGGTATGCCATTTAGTATCGAGAAATTCAGAAGAGTTATTATGAACTATAGGCCGAGCATTTGTTTTCGTGCTGCTGCGTGGGTGCTGGAGTGAATTTCTGAAGCATTCATTTGGCACCATGAAACTGCTTGTAATAAATTAGGTAAAAAGTCTACTCTACAAATATTGGGCCCCTGCCTTCCGCTGGATAGATAAATGTTACCCTTTGTTACGGCGGTAGCTTGCGCCACCTAGCCTATGTCAAAAAAGAAAAACATACGATTCCTGAAGCCCTTCTAATACAATATACAATACAATAGGATCGGGCAAAAAAACGAAAAACATCACCCCTGCTTCTTTCCCCCGGCGAAGGAGTCGCCGATTTTCCTCTGGTCATACCTTGTCGGTGTTATCCCAGCACCGGACCCACTGGGAGGCAGGGTTGACACTTTGGACCGAAGCCACTCGGGAGAGTGTCCCAATTCTACGCTGTCCCGCCTGTCCCCAGCGGTGCTATTCAGTTATATGTCATTAAATTCTCCCTAGATAGTTTTCATCAACCTTCTAATCGTTCTGATGTTAGCCTGAGACTGAGGTAGGAAAAGAGGAAGTTTCAAAGTAGAAGAAAAAGAAATAGAGACGTATCCTCGACTGTTCGTTTTTCTTCTACTTTGAAACTTCCTCTTTTCCTGCCTCGGTCTCAGGCTAATATCAGAATGGTTAATTTCCACCAGCTCACCTGCGCACTCACTACAATATCTTCTAATGGTCTTTTCGTGACTGTAATCCTTTCCTCTTCCGTCCTTCCATCCTCACCAGCAAAAGCCAAGGCCCGGGCAAAATCCGTTACGCCTTCAGGGAGGGCAGGATGAAGCCCCGTGAACTTTAAAACCAAGTGCTCTAGTGTCTAGCTCCCATTATGGCAATCGGCACATGATGTGTCTGTCTCCTGAAATTTAGCCCTATACTTCCTTGTCCTCAAAACTCCCCTTCTCACCGGAAACAGTAAAACACGTCTTAGTGAATTGTCAAACACATTTTCCTTTCTTACGTCCTGCTTTTGCGACCAGTACATTGTTAGAGCTGATTTTTCCTGCATTCTTCCCTCCCACACTTTCTGCCTCTTTCACTCCCCTTCCCACTGAAGTAGTCTGCCAAGCGCCATCACTAGTGTGTAGGAATCTAAAAGTAAGCTTCGGGGTTTGCGTCGTCCATTTTGTGTTTAATGTTTTCATGTATCAATACTTGAATACGTTCCGTGCCAACCGCGTATCATCCATTTCGGTTAACCTTTGTTAGAATGTCGATGACCAGCCCATGTCACCCTGTACTCTTTCATTTGGTGTCCTTCCATGTGCTCCCAGTGCCAATCTGCCTACGCTTCTTTGTTGAATTTCTAATACTGATTGAACCTCTGATTTTCTGCGCAGTACATCATTGCCAAAAGACAGTCCTGTTACCATTACTTCTTTCCATATACCACTGACCACTTCAAGTACATTATAGATTCATAGTGCCTTGAGCTTCATAATAGATTAATTTATTTTTAATTTTCTAATTATATTCTCTTCGTGTTCCTGCAGATATTTCCTTTCCCCATTGAGCCAGACTCCCAGATGTTTGCATTTTCCTGCATGGTCTATTACAATGTTTTGTATCCTCAGAAGTTACTTTTTTTTTGTCGTTAAACATCATCACTCCAGACTTGTCACTACTCATACTCATTCCCAAGGTGTTCCTTTCCTCCCCACATATTCTAGCTAGTTCCTGTAATGAATCCTAATTACCTGCCATGAGTACTATGTCGTCCGCATACATCAGTCCTGGTATTGCCTGTATTACATTTCTTCATCTTTCATTATAGCTCACATCAAAACCTAAGTTAGTCTGCTCTAATTTCTTCTTCATTTCACCGAGATATATTATAAAGAGTAAAGGTGACAGTGGACAGCCCTGCCTGAGCCTTCTTTCTATTGCTGATGGTTGTGTAGTTTCTGCTTCCCATGTTATAACTTCCTCATTGCCTGTGTGCCACCTGCTGAAGAAACCTGACCAAATTTGTATCTAAATTATACTCCTTCAGCTGACCCCAGAGTTTTTCCTGGCTTGCATTATCGTACGCTCTTTTGATGTCCAAATAAGCTAAACATAAAGGGATTTGGTTCTTCATTGCTATTTCTATACGGTGAGCGATGACGAATAAGTTACCTTCCAGTCCTCTATCTCTTCGGAATCGATTTTAGAGCTCACCCGCTATTTGCACATCTTCTGCCCATTCCTCCATTCTCCGCTTTACTATCGGCATAGCTAATCTGTATAAAACTGAAGTTACCTTGATAGGGCAATACTACATAATGTTGTCTTCAACGTCACTTTTTTATTGTGGTCGCCACGTTTTCGTTGTTCCCGCGGTCGTGACTTTTTTATTGTTGCCATTAGAGACTTTCACTTTGAAAAACACGGCGAGGACCAAAATTGTAAATTAAAGAACTTCGCGAGAAAAAATATTTTGGCCTAATATTTGGATTGCCATTTCAGCGATGCTTGTTGGTCTGTTTAGCAAGTTTTCAGGTATATCAAGAACTCTATAATAAAAAAACGCCGGAGTACTTCTTAAAAAAAAAAAAAACAGCTCAAAAGGTTTTTTAAAAATCTTTTTTTTTTTAAACGAGTTAGAGGTGAATTTTAGAGTATTTTTATCCCGCGAATTTGAATATCACGTTCCCTTTCCCCTAAGATGTAACTAAACGCGAAAAAACACGAAAAACCTCTGACCAGTCGTTAAGTCATACCCAACTCTTTCGGCCGCCAAGCGCGTGTCGCTCATGTGGGCAGAGTCGGCGCCAACACCTGTCCGCCACTGCTTGCTCGCGTACTCTGAGCATGTATTGAACACGAGGCCTGCGTCCAGAGCTGGCAGTAATGTAATTACTGTAATGAAATTACAGTAATTTAATTACTTGTTGCAGTAATTAGTAATGTAATTCATTACTTTTTGTAGCAGGTAATTTAGTAATGTAATGAATTACTCCAGCGACGGTAATTGTAATTAAATTACCTAATTACTTTTTCGCACCAGGCATATTTTTTGTGTCCACAATACACAAGAGCGCTTTTCTTTTTATTTTACTTTTTCTTTTTCCTCTACACCTTTCCAAAAAACGCTTTTTGGCCGCCGCTATGTTGCTGATGCTAATGCGGCTGGTGCGACTCTCGCGCCCGCTGTCAGCTAGACATTTTCTGCCACTCTCTTGAACTGTAAAAACCGGCTCAGCGCGATTTTCTACCTATGTCTTGCGGTTTTGCATTCGACGTTTTCTGGCCCTTCTTAAAAGTGTCCGCTTACTTTTCCTGATGCATGCTGCGTACCCTCTCTGTGTTATCTTCCACTGTGAGAAATAGGGCTGGTAAGTTTCTGCCATTCGAGCTTTTCTGCTCGACATTCTCGGGAAACGAAGGAGGGGAAGTAGGTCGAACTAAGGCCCCTGGTGGAACGGTCCTCGACGCGATTTTTCGAACAATGACAATAGTTCTCCCCCCTCCCAGAGATAATCCGCGTAGGGTCCTCAAACATCTCCAAAAATAGTTGTCCGGGTTGGGGTGAGAAACGGATCAGTCGCATGCGTTCCTCTGTCTATCGGTAAACATGTTATTTGTGAGCGTGAAAAATGCATGCCTTTCGGCTATCTTCTGTTGTTAATTAATTTCGACAGCTAAACGCTTTGTCGTTTGACACGCGGCTAATCGAACGGCGCCGTAAAAACTTACCGTAGAAAGAAAAAACAAAAAAACAACAACTAACATTCCAGTCGCATTCGTTCTGTCACGTGCGTACCCAACAAAAATAGTTTACTGCTTTTTTTTTCAAATGTAGTACAATGCTTTCCAATGTCCTCGGGAAAATACATGCACCATGAAACACAAAATGCAGTGGGAAAACACGAGAATTTAGCCGCCAGCAGTGTTTGAAACTGCGCCTACACAGGCTGTGCCTGTGTAGGCGCAGCCTGTAAAAGTATACAAAAGTAATGCGAAAGTAATGTCATTACTTTTAAAAGTAATTTGTAATGGTAATTAATTACTTTCTGGCTGTGGTAATTTGTAATGTAATTTAATTACATTTCAGCAATTTTCAGCAAAGTAATTAGTAATGTAATTTAATTACAAAATATTAGTAATTTGGCCAGCTCTGCCTGCGTCAGCGTTTGGAGAGGACTCCGATCCAATCACGCGCTTCGTGAGCAAGCAATAGAGACTGCCAGTGTTGCTTGATGGACTTCTGAAAAGGGTCTATAGACCCCTTTCAAAAGTTGCTGGCAAGCACCGAGCTTGCCAGCAACGAGGTAGAGGGACTTAGAGCGCCAAAACAGAAGTTCAAAAGTGACACTCCACCCCTTTCCCGGGTCGCCGCAATGTTGCACGCAAAAGATACTACTCGTCACGTGACCTAACAAGAACCGTGACGTCACCGGTGAGATGGCGGCGCCAAGAGCTGGTGGATGCGAGTGCGTTCGGTGCGCGATTGGCGCGGTAGTCGTGATATGTCGCGGCTTGCCGACGATTTCGCGCTTCTTCGTGCTCTCTGGCGCGGGTATAACGTGAAGGTAGGGTGGAATGAAACTTTATAACCTTTTTGCGCAAGATCGCTCTGGATATTAGCACCTGTGAGGCAGCATCAGTCGCATTGCCGTAGCGGTGCTCGGATTCCAGGATGTGTTCGGAGATCGATATAATTTTTAGTGCTTTCAGCATGAGATCTTCGCATTCTTTAGCGGTTTTGAAAGTCTGATCATCGAGGCTAAGTGTATGCGACGCACGTAGGGTCTAGGGGAAGTTGTTTAAGCCCCAGGTAACCGCATAACCACAGCAACTTTTAGCGAGGAAGCTTCTGCGATCTTGACGTTTTGTACTAATCAACGATATCACGACATAATATTTAGTATAAACGTTTTGCAATCTTCTCGCTTCGTTTGAACGTTGGAATGTCTGAGAATCGAAGCGGAAGGTGAACGTTGGGTTAGGTTAGGTTAGGTTAGGTTAGGTTAGGTTAGGTTAGGTTAGGTTAGGGGAAGTTGTTGCAGCCCTGAGTCACCGAATAACTGAAGCAACGTTTAGCGGGGAAGCTTATGCGATCTTTCGCCTTTAGTACTAATCGACGATTTTACAAACTGGTAGTTTCAAGATTTTTATATAACGTGCTTTTATTGCAGTAGCTTGCATTTGATCGCAGTTATTTCTTTAAGTGAAAATCTACGTGCACGCGAACTCTTACAAAGCATTCAAACCAATCATTCGGAAAACGTTCATGCATTACTAACGTTCATAAAACAGTTCATTTATCCCCTTGGTATTCAGAACACAGTAAGCAAGTCTTTACATTTTTGATTGATCGATGCACAAAATACTGCATTCGACGTCCTTTGGAAATTATTACTGGTAGGCTCTTGACCTTGCCGATTGGTACCGATAATCCACACTAACCTCCATGTACGATCAAATTCCTCTTAGATTTTTGTTTAACCCATCATTCTAACATTTGGAATCTCACAAAAAAAAATGCAGCCCCCCTCCTTAGAGTGGGGCTGCATTTTTTAGAAACAAAAAAAAAAAAAAAAAGATTTTATATAAAATAATTATGTAGTGAAAAAAAAAAGACGATCGAGGGGTTTTAATTTTAATTTTACTTCGGGCGAAAACATTACGCAAAACCGAGGACCGCGCTACTATAAAAGACCACCGATAACTCCAACATGAGCCCTACTTTCATTGGTACTCACCGTGACAGCTCTTGCAGCATTCCCTGGCTTACCGATGTGAGGCCGTCGTCAATTTGAAAGCGATCCCTCTTACTGTGAAGCAGGTTGAAGGCGAGCTCGACGATCACAAATACGACGAAAAGTGGAACCGCCTACGAGAAACGGATAAGAGGAACAGTGGCAAGTAGATATTAGGGCGGAGGCAAGCGCGTGAAGATTTACGGGAACGTTTCTTTTGCAAGGATATTTTTACACATCAAGAACTGAGTAAACCGCTCACTCGCACCTAGCTTTTCACAATGTTTTGCGGTCACCCACCATATGAATTTCCAATTTTTTTTAGGCAGTTTGTGCGCCGGTGTTAAGGTCACTTTAGCTAGATGCATTTTATTCTTAGAGATAGAGATCTAGATAAAGAAAGAGAATGGGGGAGAGAGAAAGAGAGGATAGGACAAGAGTTCACTTATTTTCCATCCCAAGCAATGCGAGGCTAACGAATGCGAATCCAACACAGCCGCCTGAAACAGCCTGGTAGTATAGGTTTTTCACCTTGTTGGAGAATGTCCACCTGTCTCAGTCACCTTTCGATCTCTACTTCGACGACCTGTTTCATACTCGGGTACAACCTCTCGTGAAAGCTTAGCAGTACAGAATGTCTATAAATAGACCTGAATCTTTCTCAAGATACTCTAGAGCACAGGCGCCTTGAGCTTTGACTTCATTACCACACAAGGTTGTCACGAGTATCAATAGTGCGGCTGCAGCTCTAGGTGTCGTTAGGTCGCAACAACAATTTTTTTTCCTAAAAAAAAGTTCAAATGCCTTGCAAACATAACTTTGCCCTTTCTGTTTCATCCACTAAAAATAAAACAAATAATCACTCGGTATTTGCCTGACTAATATGTATTATCGCTAGAAACGATACGGCAGATTTTATTTAATTTCCATCGGCGAAGGGAAGGGCGCTAAGAATCTTCAGTGGTCTTCATTGAACAGCTGGTTTACACTGGCAACTTCACGTGCTCATATCTTAAATTGCTTAGCAGCTTAAAACCTGCTGAAAGCTTCGTATGTACAAACCAAATTTTTATATTAGCTTATTGATTTTACGTTTCTCACTCGTTCAGCAGCAATGGCGGCGATTACCATCGCTCTGTACCTAATATATCTTCAAATCCTGCAGTTCGAAGCCACGGATCGTCTTCATTCCGCTGCCCGTGAACGCTGACATCATCGCACCGTGGTCTTTCTTCTGCGATTGGCTCACTCGCCTGGCCTGGAGACACGTCATCAAGGAACTACGACTACAAGAAGGAACTTGATGTGCATTCGGTACACTCGTTCAGCAGCAGTGGCGACGATTACATCGCTCTGTACGTAATATATCTTCAAATCCTGCAGTTCGAAGCCACGGATCGTCTTCATTCCGCTGCCCGTGAACGCTGACATCATCGCACCGTGGTCTTTCTTCTGCGATTGGCTCACTCGCCTGGCCTGGAGACACGTCATCAAGGAACTACGACTACAAGAAGGAACTTGATGTGCATTCGGTACACTCGTTCAGCAGCAGTGGCGACGATTACATCGCTCTGTACGTAATATATCTTCAAATCCTGCAGTTCGAAGCCACGGATCGTCTTCATTCCGCTGCCCGTGAACGCTGACATCATCGCACCGTGGTCTTTCTTCTGCGATTGGCTCACTCGCCTGGCCTGGAGACACGTCATCAAGGAACTACGACTACAAGAAGGAACTTGATGTGCATTCGGTACACTCGTTCAGCAGCAGTGGCGACGATTACATCGCTCTGTACGTAATATATCTTCAAATCCTGCAGTTCGAAGCCACGGATCGTCTTCATTCCGCTGCCCGTGAACGCTGACATCATCGCACCGTGGTCTTTCTTCTGCGATTGGCTCACTCGCCTGGCCTGGAGACACGTCATCAAGGAACTACGACTACAAGAAGGAACTTGATGTGCATTCGGTACACTCGTTCAGCAGCAGTGGCGACGATTACATCGCTCTGTACGTAATATATCTTCAAATCCTGCAGTTCGAAGCCACGGATCGTCTTCATTCCGCTGCCCGTGAACGCTGACATCATCGCACCGTGGTCTTTCTTCTGCGATTGGCTCACTCGCCTGGCCTGGAGACACGTCATCAAGGAACTACGACTACAAGAAGGAACTTGATGTGCATTCGGTACACTCGTTCAGCAGCAGTGGCGACGATTACATCGCTCTGTACGTAATATATCTTCAAATCCTGCAGTTCGAAGCCACGGATCGTCTTCATTCCGCTGCCCGTGAACGCTGACATCATCGCACCGTGGTCTTTCTTCTGCGATTGGCTCACTCGCCTGGCCTGGAGACACGTCATCAAGGAACTACGACTACAAGAAGGAACTTGATGTGCATTCGGTACACTCGTTCAGCAGCAGTGGCGACGATTACATCGCTCTGTACGTAATATATCTTCAAATCCTGCAGTTCGAAGCCACGGATCGTCTTCATTCCGCTCTGCCCGTGAACGCTGACATCATCGCACCGTGGTATCATTTCGATTCATGTTCCGATGTAGATCAAGGAGCGTACGAAGTGGAAAAAAAGATGTGGAAATGTCTGACTTGCTCCGCCTCAAAAACACGAAGTGGAAAACTCAATGTAGAAACCAAGCGTGATAATGAAACCGATGTTGGAAGGGCTCTAGTTGGCATAAGCAAAAAACTGTCCGAACTGTTGGCAATGAAAGAAATTGTTGACAGCCTGATGTCTGTAAAGGAAAAAGTCGACAGCCTCATGACGGTTAAGGAAACTGTAGACAACATTGAAGCATCGGTCCAGATATGTCAGATGCCTATGACGATCTGAAACAGCAATCCACCGAGATTACCAAGCTTAAAAATCGGGTCGAGAAGATGGAGGCTCCCAACAGTGGCGAAGAAGTTAGTATGCTAAAGCAGGAAGTAAACAAGCTCGAACAGTACAGTAGACGTCAGAACCTGGAGATACACGGACTTCCACGAAGCAGTAATGAAGATCTGCTTAAAAAAATAAATGATGTGGCAAAAGAACTGAATCTAAGGGAACTGACTGAGAGTGACATCGATGGTTTTCACCGGCTCCCCTCAAAAGACAGCAAAATTCCAGCCGTGCTAGTTCGCTTTGTATCGCGAGTGACACGTGATCAATGGCTGCAGAGGAAGGGGCGTCTACGAGATAACCAATCTGATGTGCGCCTTTTTGATAACCTAACTGCCCAGAACAAAAATCTTCTGTGGATGATGAGAGCAAAAACCGAGGAAAAACACTATCAGTTCGCGTGGCAGAAAGATGGCAGAATGTTTATGCGGAAGAAGCAGGGCGACAGCACAGTTAAGATTGAATGCATACAGGATCTAGAAAGGATAGTGTAAGTGGCTGTGTACTATCGCTGGGTTATCGTGTTTTTTTCCCTTCCAATGAATAGTACGCCAAGTAAAATAGACTATCATGACCGGAGTTTGTTCAATATAGGCTTACTCACAACAGCGTTACTTTCCGAAAAAACATCGTTTCTTTTTTTTTTTTTTATTTAAACGCTAGAAGTTTGAAAAATAAGTATGATGATGTCGAGATTTTTTTTAGATTCTTTCAACCACAGGTTTGATGTGCTCGCGTTCACAGAAACGTGGTATACAGATAGTAGTGATGTTATTCCCTTTGCAGGTTATACGTGTCAGGGAATGTATCGTGTTAATCGAACAGGCGGAGGCGTTTCTCTTTACTTTCACGATGGTATTTCTTATGAAGTTCTTTCTGAATATAGCAATGTTAACGATTGCTGTGAATCTATTGTCGTGAAGTGTGTCGGATCCATTGTATCTCTTATTTACCGTCCACCCTCTGGATCGGTATGTGAATTTGTGGCTTATATTGACGAATTTCTTGAACATGTCGAACCGTTAAATTTACCAGTTACATTGATTGGTCATTTTAAGATAGATTTACTGCCCTCAAGCCCTATACGCAGGATATTTCTTGATGTTATTCAAACACATGGATATAAGAATGTAATTGATTCACCAACACGAGTTACGTCAGAATCGCAAACACTAATTGACTTATGTATTACCAGCTATCCGTCTGACGATATAATTACTGGTATCTTAACATGTGATCTAAGCGACCACCTACCACTATTCTGTTTTCTACCATCTGCAAGAAATGGAAAGGCAAATGATCCAATTTTAGATGCTCCAGTTTTAAAGAGATATATTAATACCATTGTTAATGATTATAATGCAATTAAATGCAAAGGTGCAAGCGAGCTGGACAAGAATGACGAAAATAATCCCTGGAGAAGGGGAACAAGAGGGACAAAGGACAAACATAAATCTCCAAACACAGCTAGGTGACTGGTGCGCGAATAACCCGGCCCGGGCGGATTTTTTCGGTCGCACACCAGTCACCTAGCTGTGTTTGGAGATTTATGTTTGTCCTTTGTCCCTCTTTTTCCCCTTCTCCAGGGATTATTTTCGTCATATTATTACCAGTAGCATCAACTGTTTTATGATATGGTGTCATATTTGAACTGGGATGATGTTTGCAATGAAGGTGATCCTAATACAGCTTACGATTTATTTTTGAAAAAGTTAAAATATTGCTATGATCTAGCATTTCCATTGACCAAAGTTCGGAAGCACAAGAAATCGAGAAAGCCTTGGATAAAACCGGATCTTTTTAAAAGGATTAATGTTCGTAATCGTATGCACCATAAATTCATCAAACTGAGAGATGAAAAGATATTGGCCGAGTACAAAAAAAATTTAGGAATAAATTAGCCTCAGATATTAAGAAATCCAAATTGCATTATCATCAAAACAAGTTTTCAGTTATCTCTAATGATTCCAAGAAAATATGGAAGGAAGTGGCATGCCTTATATCGCGACCAACTAGTAGACACCCCATTGAAATCGCTAGAGATGGTGTTGCATACGCCGGTGTATCACTATCAAACCTATTTAATGCGCACTTCCTACGCTGCGGCGGGTCTTCCTCTTCTCCGGTTATGAATGAGACTATCAGCTCTTATGTTCCAAACGTGATATCAAACTAAATTTTTCTCTCGCCAATTGGTGAAGAACAGGTTAGTAGTACCTTATTACTAGC